GTCATACGGGTGTACGTTGTGGTTAGGCCTTTCTTTAATCCGTGGATACCAAATATTTGATTTCCTGACTTTAGATTTTGACTTCCTTTGCAAAATATTCCTTAACCTTAATCTTTCTTGATCTATCTGTGTAAATGATTGTTCTTAAATCTTTTATACCAGTACTTTACCTGTGGATTTCGTTTGTAAAGACATCTCCTTGATAACACTTGTTTTTACTTTGAACGCTGAGATTGACCAACGTTTGAAAACATCTTTTGCCTTGAGTTTAAGTTTTGAATGGTTAGAGCTTGGGCTTTTATATTAATATACGTATGCAAGTGTATTTACTTTGTTAAAGGTCTTTCGTAACGGGATTAAACCATTTTGACTCTTTTGACCTTGGAAGCTGGCCTACCATTGAAAACCTTAGCCATACCTTTAAAATGGTTGGGACTAGGGTCTTCATATTCAATTACGTTTTATTTGTGAAAAGATCTTTCTTTTGGTACCAGAATTTCTTATCTCTCTTGAACTTTTAGTTTGATTTATATTTGAGAAACGTTGCCATGAAACACGGTAGCACCAGAGTTTCACAAACAAATCTTCTTTTATTAAATTGAACTTTTAGTTTTTAATTTGTAACTACACACTTTTGAGAAGTCATCTAATTTGTTGTGAATAATGGACGTGTATTTATCTCTTTAGGCGATGGGTTTATAAGTTTCAAAGAATACCTCAACATAATGAGAGAAAACTACAAAGAGGTAGATTTAGAACGAGAACGGATGAAGGCTGCGTTCAGTTATATAGACAAAGACAATGACGGTTATGTGACACTAAAGGAGCTTAAAGTAGTCCTCTGTCACAAAAACCAGGATATCACCGTACAGGAGATAGAGGAATTCTTTAAAGAAATTGACATAGATGGGGATGGAAAGATTGACTATGAAGGTAACTGGTTGATTATTAATTATGGTTTATTTTTATCTAATTAAAGTACATTTGATAGATTATTTATCATAAAATGCTCTCCCAAACTTGAAAAAAAAAGGAAAGTTATTAAGCATCCCTTTAGGCCTATGCGTGCAAAAAATATAATTGAAAATGAAAAATCTTCTATTTTTTCAATTTTGATACTTATATCAAAATTTGTTTTTATTTAACACATGTTACCTATGAACCTGTAAAAGAATTTGAAATTTATTATATTAAAATTTTTTTTAAGAATTCATCGAGTCCGATTTATGCAATAGTGTATTTTGACCATAACATTGATGGGGAAAGGAAGGGATGATTGTTTCGTCGAAGCCATGTCCAAGCTGTACAAAAAGATTGAATACCGTATATTGTGAAATCTTTGTGTTGAGTATGGTTAAAATCCATTGATAGCAGATACGTATGTGTAATTAATAATAACTTTTCTCTATATATTAGAAATTGCAACCTTAGTCACATTGATGGTTTATTTGATAAAATTATCATCGTAAATTATTTCTAGTTTAATTTTTGACACAAAACTACGGGTACTTTGATAACATATGTGGGAAATAAGAGTGGATTTGGAATCAAGCTGATGTACTGAAAATATTTTTTTAGAAATATAACTGTAATTTTAAATATTGACTATATATTTCAGTAATTCCATATCATGCAAATGTTGAGAAAAAGCAATTTTGAATAGAAATTATATAAGATTATAAGAAGGTATGTTATACAAGTTTTCATATTTAAAATTATGTAGCATTGCAAATATTGTATTTAATCACAAATTAATGAATTAATTTGTAGATACCGTTGCGTACTTAGTAATTTTATAAGAACTGTACATATATTTTATTGTTGATTTTTAAAGTGTATAAACTTATAAATTAATGACCTGATGACAAATCAAATCTTCTTTAATTGAAAGATTCAGTTTTCGTACAAATACTCGGTGTTGTAAAAGTTGAAATAAAACTCCAGATATTATATTAGTGTTTCATTAAGTTGACATCAAAAAGATGCTTGAGTTCCTGATTGACAATATCTATGTGGTTCTTTGGAGACCAGGTCCCGGGATCATGAAACATCTTAAGCTTAAGTCAAAATCATCACTTTATAATAAAATATGGTACAGGTCTAGCAGACCAAAATTGAAATATTTTTCAATATCGCTTTACAGAAGCATTGTTATCTGCAAATTTCTAAATAAATTCCCCAACCAATGACTATCTTATAGGCGATTGAAAATTTCACTTAAGTCTAAGTTTGTTTCATGACCCTGGGGCCAGGTCTTCAAACAATCTGTTGGAATTCCCATGGGTACCAATTGCGCCCCGTTAGAAGCGGACATATTTTTCTATTCAAGTGGCCTTCAACTCTACATTTAGATATATCGACGAAGTATTATCAATTAACAATGGTAATTTCCATTCTTATGTCAATACGATATATCCAGGTGAGCTTTAGATAAAAGATACCACAAAGTCTGACACATCCGTTTCATATTTGGATATTTTACTGGCAAAAGACGTTAATGGTAATCTAACAACAAAGCTCTATGATAAATGTGATGACGTTAACTTTTCTATCGTTAACTTCCCTGACTTATGCAGCAATATACCTCATTAACTGCATACGGAGTTTATATATCTCAGTTGATTCGATACGCAAGAGCATGCTCTACGTATGAACGATTTCTAAAACGAGGTAAATTGTTGATGAAACATAAATTTCACCAGTCTCGTTTAAAGTCATCATTTTGTAAGTTCTATGGTCGATACAATGACCTTGTCAGCAAATACAATTTGTCATTGAGTCAAATGCTGACTGACGTTTTTCATACTAATTGTTTGTCCATTATTCAAAAACTGAATTGACGACGGATTTTTCCTTTATTTCCCGATCATGACAAGGAGCAGCAGCACACAGTGGGTGTAACCGGTCAGCAGGCGATGCTCACTTTTCCATGGCATCCGATCCCACCTTTAATGTTGGAGGTCCGAGTTTGCTCTGCGCCTATTTTGTATTGTTTTTTGGACTTTTGAGCTTAAATACCCTTCTTTACTTCAGTATCTTTCATGTTTACACCACCATGGCACCTGCTCCCACCTCTGATGTTTTGGAGGTCCATGCTTGCTCTGATTCTAGTTTGAATTGTTTAATGGACTTCTGAGCTTGAATATTGTTCAGTTTCTCCAAACATTTCGTTACTAAAATTCATTCAGATTTTTTCTATATAAATACTAAAATGTTTTTTTTATTATTTCATAATTATGTATCTATGTATACAATAACCTTTACATGATACATATAACAAATAGAAGAAGGCGGGTGTAACCGGTTAACAAAGAAGGTTCACTACTTCATTACCTCTGGTCCCACCTCCATGTTATCAGAAGTCTGTATGTGCTGTGCTAATAATTGGAACTGTTTCATGGCATTTTCATCATGATAACAGGTTCCTCTCTACACACGGTTTTTCTGAAATTAATGTCAAATGGAAGCATTTGAAGGCGTGATTTAGTGAATTCTATTCTCTACATGTTCTCTCATTAACCTATTTAAACTGTTGAATATTTCACAGCGTTATATACACGTATACAGGTTACATAAAATAAGTTCTTACTCTTGAGAAACTTGGAAATAAGAAATAAGGAATTCCGGAACATGAAACAGATTTTTTTCCTGACAGTAACTACTTGTAGTTTTGATTTGATACACCCTTGCTGAAAATATTCATTTTTTATGCATGTATGCGCGTAATATTTTCTGACAGAAATAGATTATTGAAATTAAGCATTAATAATACAAATTATACTAAAATTGCACGAGAACTTCATCAACTTATATTCCTAGCTCAATAACATTTTGATTAATATTAAAATCATAAATAAATTGCTTATGTTAATCTTCCATATAAAGTAGAAATAAGGCTTTTGTTTGAAGGGACTGTTAGAAACAATGATATGTAGAACTTAAATGTAACATTTGTTAGGTCACATAAAAATAGAGCAAAGTTGCGCATTTGCAGTGACTTTTAAGAAGTCGAATTTTTTTTTTTGGGGGGGGGGGGGGGGGGGGAGTGTTAAAAAAGAATCCCAAATTGAAAAAAAAAATAAATTAAAAAATAAAAATAACGAAAAGTTTCTCTTTTGAGGTTACGGTCCATTTAAAGATTCAAAGTCTGTTCGTTTTGCAAGTTTTTACAAACTGAAAATCATAGATAAATGTTTTATTTTGAATCACTTCATGCATACACGAACGATTTTATTATGTAAGAAATATATGTTTAATATACGTTTTAATCGCACATAACGTCTTTTAAGACTAAGACTTTAAAGTTAAATCAATCATTAAGTTAATCATAAGTATTTTTATTATTTAATTATTTGCCACATAGACTTATCAGTTTTTATTCAGTCACCATTGATTGAAAAATTGCATTTAAAATTTTGTAAGCATATTTTGCATGTAAAGTAATCAACACCAAATTTTATGGTATATGGCGAATTAGGTAGATACTCTATTTCAATTATTATAAAGGTTAGAATGATAAGTTTTTGATATTTTTTACAAAGGGATAAATTATCATCGAACTTGTTAAGTGTTTTAAAGAACTACAATAATCCATGGTGTAACTTTGTCAAATCTATATTGAATGAATGTGGACTTTCTTATATTTGGCATACTTGTCAACCTGTAAATATATCATGGCTGAAGAAAATAGTGTTTAACACTCTGTATGATCAGTTTAAACAGAAGTGGTATAGTGAAATGTTTAACTCGTCTAAAGGTCTTTTAGAATTATAGAATATATAAAACTTCATTTTGTCTAGAAAAGTATTTAGTATCATTGCCCTTTAAGTACTGGAAAATATTTTGTAAGTTTAGAACTTGTAATAATAAATTACCAGTTGAAGTTGGAAGATGGCATAATGTACCAAGAGAAAACCGAATTTGTAAATTATGTTCCAAAAATGAAATTGGTGATGAATTTCACTACTTATTTAATTGTAATAATTCACTTATATTGAATTCAAGGTTATTATTATTATCAAAATATTACTATTCACATCCAAATGTGTATAAGTTTGATCAACTTTTTAATATAAAAAATCCAGTTAAATTGACAGAACTGTGTAAATTTATAAAAATTATTTTTGAGAGAGTCGGCTCTCCTGTTAGCTCATTGTTAGTTTTGTTACTTTGTACTTTTTTTCTTTTTCACGCATGCACATATGTTTAACTATACTTGTAATCTTTCTCAACACTGTACTTATGTCAGTTTATGAGAATAAATTTATTGTCATTGTCATTGTACAATGAAATACGAATATTGAAATAAAAAATCTTAAAAGACCATGTTATCAATACAAATCGGGAGCCTAGTCAACACGGACCTCTATAAAGCCACAGATGGATTAGATGCCATAGAGGAGTGAGCTTCCCCTCGGACCAGTCACATCCGCCATTAATTTGATTCTGATATACATACCTCTTCATTTTAAAGAATTCTGTATTTAAACTTTAAAGTATTCTTTACTTCCTCGGGAGTGGAATGGAAACTATTTCTGCGGGACCTTTTTTCAAAATTGAATTTTATCAATCTTTTGCGAAAAGGATGTGCAGTCTTATTGTTTTTGTTCATGTGTATCAGGTATAAAAACAACTTTAAATATAATAAAATAAGTATTAGGAAGTAAAAAAAAAATCACAATGAAACATATGGAGATACCAAATAGTATTCAACATTTAAAAATCAATAAAACTAGAGCCGAGCTCGTTGCAAAGCAACGAATAGGTCTTCCGTTGGAGCTACGGATAAGAAGACGTAACCTTGAGTCTAGGTCAAAAGCCACATTCTTAAGTTCTACAAGTGAAAATTTAAACCTTTTAAGAGAAGCAACTTGCAATGTTTAGCTAGGAAAAAGACTGTAAAGGAATATACATGTGTAAATGTGACCTTGAACTTTCCAAGTGACCTTGAACTCTCCAAATGACTTTGATCTAAGCAATGACTAGCTCTCGTTATAAAAATATTATCCATGTGTTACCGTCTGGAAAATTTCAAACATTTTATTTAGATATTCTTTCTGTCCATGCATCCAACCAAAAACATCTTATCCTTGGGGACTTTGAACTCGAGTCAAGGTCACGTCCCATCCTGCATTATATCAGCAATGTTTCACTAGTAGCAAAATGGTTGCGAATTTACAGTTTCACTGTCACTAATTTTGACTCGTCCAGATGACTGGATATGTTCAGCCATGAGTTTTTTTTTC